GGTCAAGTTCACTCTTTACTGTGCGGTTCCCTAGAACTTGCGCCCAGAACAGAACACCATTCCACCGATCGCCCCGACTCCTCCCGGTTTTACCTGGGATGAAGAAGAACAAGAGTTCTATCAGATTGACGCCAAGGGCACCAGATACTCCATTGACCAGTGGGCTGCCTATTATGCTAGTATAGCACCCAAGAACAAAGTTTGGAACTTCCATACCCAAACCTATGAACGATCCTCCACAGCCACCATGCCTAAAGAGATCGGAAAGACCCCCTCACCCTTCAACGGCAACACCCGCCTTGCTCAGGGATGGACGCTTCAAGTTGAGACGTACCTAGATATGAATGATGAAGTTTACGATAACGACAAGAAAAAAGTTATCTTCACCCTCAGCCTTATGACCAAAGGCGAGGCTGCTAAATGGGCCGAAGGCCAGCTCAAAGCTGCTGTTGCAGCAAAGACCTACAGAACCTGGGAAGACTTTGCTAAGCAATTTAAATCCACTTTCTTCCCTAAGAACGTTGAACAAACTGATTCGTTGCATCTCTTCCCTCAGATAAACTGGTAGCATAGCCGCTTACGCTTCTCTATTCCGAACCATCCTAGCCAATACCAGCATCTCCGAAGAAAACACGAAAATTATGTTCTTCAGAAATGGGCTTAAGCAAGAGATAGTCTCCACTATATATGCCTTCAAAACGACTCCCACCACCATCAAGACGTGGCTAGAGAAAGCCTTAGACATCGAGGTACGAAGGACCTTAATAGCACCTCCTTCCTATACCAAAGCGAAAGATCCGTACGCTATGGATATAGATAAAGTAGAGATAGACGATGAAGAAGGTGAGAAGAAGATGAGGAAGACTTACCTTACTCCTCAAGAACGGGAGCGCAGGCACAAGGGTGGCCTCTGCTTCAAGTGCAGCAAAAAGGGCTTAGCCACAGACTGCCCTAACCACCCAATGGTTACAACCAATACCAGAAAGGTAATCAAGGAGTCATCTGACGACGATTACAAGGAATTTCAAGAATGGAAGGCGTTTAAAGCACACCAGATGAAGAAAACTGGGGAGCCTGCCATGGTGTCAGAAACTCCCAGAATCGGACTAGTAGTACAATCTGTTGGCGATACTAATTCTATTCGTTTGCTGTTAACCATCAGATTGAAGAAAACCGAGAAAACCACCATAGCCACTGCTCTAATTGATTGCGGTGCAGAAGGCGAATTTATTGACGAGAAGTTCATCCTCAAAGAGAACATTCACACACACAAACTTGAAACCCCAATACCTGTGCGTAATGTAGACGGCACGTTGAATAAAGCCGGAAGAATCACACGGTACTGTGAACTTTCATTCTTAATCAAAGATATCCCTATGAGGAAGCAATTCTTTGTAACCTCTCTAGGAGGAGAAGACGCTATCCTGGGAATGACTTGGCTAAAGAAAGAAAACCCAGATATCGATTGGACTAGTCAAGAAGTCCGCTTAAGGGAGCATACCCTGAAAAAAGCATTTATTGAAGAAATTGAAGAAGATGAAGACGTCTTTTATGACACTCTAGAAGGATTAGAACCAGAATGGGACCCTGCTAACGAAACTCTCCCACACCTTCTAGATCCCATCAATGACAATGACGATTTCTATACCTATATCCGGAAAACTGACAACATCTCACAAACCCTCGCTCAGGACGCCGCTAAACCAAAGAAAACTTTCGAAGAACTCATACCCAAGGAATTTCAACAATATAAAGACGTATTTGGTGACATAGCTAATGGTACTCTTCCTCCAGAACGTAAATATGACCACAAGATTGACCTCAAGGAATCTTTCGAACCACAGAAATGCAAGATCTATCTGCTTAACGCCAAAGAAGATAAGGCTATGAACGATTTCATTGACGAACATCTAGCTAAAGGAACAATCATTCCTTCCAAATCCCCCCAATCCTCTCCATTCTTCTTTGTTGGGAAGAAAGACAGTTCCCTCCAACCTTGCCAAGATTATCGCTACCTAAACGAACACATGGTTAAGAATAACTACCCTTTACCGCTAATCTCTGACCTTATAGATAAGCTGAAGGACACTAAGATATTCACCAAAATGGACATTTGATGGGGCTATAATAATGTACACATGAGAAAATCTGACCAATGGAAGGCGGCCTTTGCCACTTCCAGGGGACTTTTTGAACCCACAGTTATGTTCTTTGGAATGTGTAACTCACCTGCCACCTTTCAGTCTATGATGAACAACTTGTTCGGAGACATGATCCAAGAAGGGTGGATCATTATATACATGGATGATATACTAATCTTTTCTAGAGACGAAGAAACCCATCATATCCACACTCACAAGGTACTCCAACAACTCCACAACAACCTCCTCCATCTAAAACCCAAAAAATGTACTTTCAATGTAACTGACATCGAATACCTCGGCATGATCATCAAACCCGGTTCTATCGCCATGGACCCCACCAAATTAAAGGGTATATCCGAATGGAAGACTCCCATGAAAGTGAAGGAAGTCCAGTCATTCCTCAGATTCGCTAACTTTTACCGATGGTTTATTGCTGACTATTCTTCAATTGCCAGACCCCTGATCGACCTAACCAAGAAAGATGAGGAATTCTCTTGGACCCCTGAACACGAGGAAGCTTTTAATAAGCTGAAGCATATCTTCACTTCCTCTCCTATCCTTCAAATTCCTGACAAAAATTCCCCTTTCGCGATTGCCACTGATGCTTCACTATATGCTACAGGCGCAGTACTCTTACAAAAGAACAATAATGGAGACTGGCTCCCATGCTCGTTTTTATCACAATCTTTTAACCCCGCTGAACGAAATTACCAGATATATGATTGAGAATTACTTGTGATTGTCTGTGCTTTGAAAGCATGGAGACATTATCTTCTCGGTTCCCCCTATCCCATCATTGTACAAACTGATCACAAAAACCTTACTTATTTCAGAGACATACAAGACCTTAACTGATGCCAAGCAAGATGGCAGACTTTCCTTTCCCAATTCGAACTCCAAATTCAACACGTACCTGGGAAAGAACTCATTATTCCTGACCTCCTTTCCTGTAGAACGGATCACCTTCCAGTCGATAGTGACGAAAAGGATAATATTAGTATTCAACTCCTCCCTGATTCGATGTTCATCAACGTCATTGACACTTCTTTTATGGACAGATTACGTATTTCTTCCTCTATTGACCCCGTAGTACATACAGCGCTTCAAGCGCTCACAGACTCCTCTATTCCTCCTCCCCTCCCCTCCGCTCTTTCCAATTGGAAATTAAGCGACAGAATTCTTTCCTTTAAAGGACTTACCTACATACCCCCTGGAGATCTCCGACAAGAACTCACTTCCTTACACCACGATTCTCCTACTGCAGGACACCCTGGACGCTTCAAAACCCAGGAACTTCTGTCTCACGACTATTGGTGGCCAGGCCTAGCCACATTCGTCAAGAACTTCATAGAAGGCTGTTGCATCTGCCAACAGAATAAAGTAAACACACACCCTTCTACTCCGCCACTTTCCCCTATTCCTGCTCCCATTTCCAACCAACCCTTCGCTCATTGCTCAGTTGATCTTATCACTGACCTCCCGCTCTCCAATGGCTTTGACAGCATCATGGTCATGGTCAACCACGGACTTTTGAAGGGGGTAGTTTTCACCCCTTGTCTCAAGACAATAGACGCTGAAGGCGTTGCAAACATTTTCTTTTCTAAAGTTTTCTCTAGATATGGACTTTATGATAAAATTATCTCTGACCACAGACCTCAGTTCACTTCCTGATTCCAGGTCGAACTCGGAAAACTCCTCGGATACAAGAACTCCCTTTCCACCGCATTCCATCCCCAGAGTGATGGAGAGACCGAATGAGTAAACCAAGAACTCAAAGTCTATCTCCGGATCTTTTGCACCAATGACCAAACCAGTTGGGCGCCCATGTTGCCATTAGCCGAATTTGTTCATAATTTGCGTCACCATTCAGCACGTGGTACCTCTCCCTTCTATCTTATGATAGGTTATCACCCACGTCATCTCCCTGACTCTCATCCAAAATCTGACATTCCTAATATCGAACAACGACTCTCTCTGCTTAATAAAGCACGCGACGAAGCACTAGCCGCTCATGAACTCACACATAACACTATGCGTCAACGAATCATGTCTAAATTCATACCATTCTCTAAAGGCAACAAAGTCTGGCTAGAAGCCAAGAACCTACATCTTGGGTACCCTAATCGCAAACTCGCTCCTAAACGAGAAGGACCCTTTATCATCACTGATGTATTATCCCCTATAACCTATCGACTCACACTTCCCGCGCAATGGCGCATTCACCCTGTATTCCATGCCGCACTCCTTTCTCCTTACAAAGAGAATGATACCCACGGCCCTAACTATATTCCACCGCCTCCTGACTTAATTGATGGCAAAGAAGAACATGAAGTCGAAGCAGTCGTCGGACACCGCGGATCTTCATCTAGAAGACAATATTATGTAAAATGGAAGGGATTCCCAAGTTCCAAGAACGAATGGATGAAAGAAGCTGAACTAGGTAACACTTCTAAACTTCTTACTAATTATAAACGATTGCATCATCTCCTTTGATAGTAGTCGGTGCCTACTACCCTTACAACAGGGGTAATGTTACAGTTCTATTCTTTTCCTTTCACCTCTTCACTTATTCATGATTACTAATCATTCTTAGACATTCTATGACATTCCATTGTACGATTCTCTTTTCTCTTTTCTGATTTGCTATTTACTTTCTATCTCCAATTCATTTATTAAAGCTCCGCTTTAATCCCTTTATATATACTCTATCTCTTACGCTTGTATTCTTTAACTTGACCTATGCAGACCAGGGCCTGCAATATACTGCTTAACTCACATGACTCGTACATAGGTGTATGCTTTAGATCATTTGTTTCTGTCTAGTCGTTCTCATGAATGCCAAGCGTAACAAAGAATATGGCATCCCTTGAAACAATTTACCTGGAAAGCAACCCTTGTCAGCAGGCTGAAGGTACAGGTTACAGACGGAGGATAATGCTGACACTTCCTCAGGTTAAGCAAATTGATGCCACGTTAGTAATATTCGCTTTCAATTTATCTCTAGAGTATTTGGCTGACCTAGTCTGTAGTTTTGCGAGGTCTTCATGACCCACTCATCTTCTCGCACATCATGTCTCTCAAATCATATGATCTTGGTCATTCGGTGCTCAAGCTCAAGTTGCAGCTGACATATAATTATTCACGTGTATATAGGACTCTAGTATTTAGTGGTATGGGATTTGTGCGAAATTAGGGGACTTCCTAGGGACATTTGATGCCTGCGCTCGTATTTGCGATGGTCTGAAAAAAATGAATGGCCTGAAGGTAGTTGAAGGCACAGCGACATGTAACCTTGTCTGCCGCATCAAGAGCTCCTTACTCTACTTTGGAATCGGGCTCCATGACAGTAAGTTACCAGACCAGTAAAATGTGATTGTAATGGTCTTGTTGGCACAGATGACAGAGGAGTTGGCCATTGTCTTGCAGGAGCCCAAGACGCGCACCAAGTGACTCGCTACTCACTCATCATCCCCCTTAGGACCTTTGGAAAGAGGATGCAAGACTCTCTAACTTAGCCACAGCAACGAGAAATAGTAATAGTATTAGAGATACAGGGTAACTGTGGGTACAGAGTCAGGCATAGGAATGGATAGCTGACCAGCTGACCTACCTTGCATTCTAGATTGCTCTCAATACCCCTGTCCGACTCGCTAAACTTTGGCGTGATGCTTGCACTCCCTTTACCGGACTGACACAAAACAGTTTGAGCATGTTGGTGCAAGTTATCGAGATACGAAGAAAGTGCGTAGCCATCTTCGACAAGAAAGTTTTCTGGTCGATATCGCGGTGAGAGATCACGGCATGCGGTAGCTTGGGCCCGGGATTAGGGTTAGGCTCGAGCTTTTCAGGGAGATAACTTGTATGATCACAATCGCATCCACCGTTGGTCCGTTATCCATCGTCGGGCCTGCAATCATCAGACGGAATCTGAAGCTTTTTACTACGTATACTATGCTTGCCGCCAAAGTCATCAGTAAAGAGCCTCTGGATAACAAAGACGCGAAGTGAGAACGTTGTTCGTGCAAGTTAACTACTAATATCTAATTCATGCGTAGATGGATCCATCTCAAGAAGATCCACTACACTGATCAAGACGGAAAACACGTATGTTTGTTATTCTCAGGGCGTGATTATCTCGCTCATTCATCGGTAAAGAGACTTTGGGAATCTGCCGAACGCACAACTCGCAAGGACTCTGGAATAGATGGTGAATAAGATTTGTGCTTCCTCGTTATATTACTGCACAAACAATCATCCTTTACAGGCGTTGCTGTCCTCGCTGTTCTTCGTTCCAAGACCAATGCTTTCCCCCTCTCGACGGTCATTATAGAGCAATACCGTCCTCCTCTCGACAACATCGTCATTGGCATGCTACACTTCCCTACTGTTATCAATCCATTCGCTGATTATTTTGTTCTGTTGCTATCGTAGAACTTCCTGCTGGCCTCGTTGATGCAGGCGAGACGGCTGAGGCAGCAGCCATTCGAGAATTGAAGGAGGAGACAGGATACGAGGCCGATGTGACCACCGAACCTGAGTCCTCACCGATCGTTGTCAGTGACCCAGGTCTGTATATTTTCTCAAATACAATTGGTGTACATTTAAGACATTTGTAGGGATGACCAATGCCAACATGAAACTCGTGGTTGTAAGTGTCCTCCTAGAAGATAAACTCGAAACACCTACCCCACATCTTGATGATGGTGAACATATTATCACCCGCGTCGTAGAGCTAGACCAACTCGTTAGCGAGCTCAAAGGTGCGTTTCGCTCTTCGATGGAACATGTTTCTAATCTTGAGGTTTTCAAGCATACGACAAAAAGGTGACACTATTATGCAGGAAAAGTACAAACCTTTGCTGACCAACACCCAGGGCTTTGTAGTGGATGCTAAGCTCTCTCACTTTGCAGCTGGTTATGCAATGGCGAAGAGGATCAGCAGTGGCGCATTCCCCTGAGATTGCTAAGGCAGGTCCTGACATATATGGTATCCCAAGATGGAGTCGAATGAAAAGAAAAATATATTGTTGCATGTCCAGCATTCAGACTAGCGACATGTAAGATTGAACAAAACTAGAGTGCTAGTGATACGATTTTTTTGCACGTTCGATGTGTGCCCTCAACTTCTGCTGCTTCTCCCTCAAGGACGCCTTCTTCTTTCCCCGTACCGCACCGCTACTCAATATCATCATGATCGGCTTATTCCTTGCCTTCTCGCGATTTGTGGAGCTGCTTGGAGACTCTTTATTTTTCTTACCCTTCAACGAGCCGTACTTTTCCCGTCCTTCCCGACCCTTTTCAATACTCGCTATGCGTTCCGCGTAGTCAGCTTTAGCCTTTTTACGCGGACCGAGGATGTCGTTCTCAGAAATGAATGTGCCATCAGATGGCCCAGCCTGCATAGCCTTCTTGTTTGCTTCAAGGGTTGTCAGCTTCCGTTTTGCCCTGGAACCACCACCTGATTCAATAGCTTTTGTAGCAGCCTGTATACGCAGGTCATTCAGTAATGCGAAGTCTGCGGGCGTAAGGATCTGCAATACATGTCAGAGTGTCGCACAGGGGGTAGAAGAGATAATAGTTCACTTTAGTGGTTGCCAGGGTTGAGATTCGATTGGGGTTTGGATCGGTCTCTGATTCTGTCCCCCCAGGCGGTTTGTGAGCTGACTCCCGCTCGTCTTCACTATCACTAACTTCCACGTTGTCGTCGCCTTCGGAGTCGACATCTATCCATCCTTCAGACTCGGATTCCGAATCTGAATCGGTTTCAACATCCCAGCCTTCCCAAGCGGCTGCTTCATCGTCCTCGCCATTATTATCGGCATCGCTCATCTCCTCTTCGCGAAGTTTCTGCAGGTGGTCTTCCAGAAGCTGTCAAGTAGTTCAGGCATATTTTAGAATGTTAAAAATATCCGGATTACCATTAATCCTTCGATGTCAACTGCAGCATCCGCACTGTGTCCAAACGGCAGTGGTTGACCACCTTTGCTCATACTTATACTGGCATCTTTTCCCTGCAAAGACACTTAACGTTGGCAATGGTGAATTGAAAAGGGAATCGCTTACTCTCTCCCGGCGTTTGAGCATACCAGGGTTCACCTCGCGATACAACTGCAACAATCCTCTTGCAGCAGCTGTAACCGCCTTGTCTCGACTTCTCCTGTACTCTACAAGATCACCCAACAGATCTTCCTCCATTGCCCATGGTTGTCGTCTACAAACCTCCCTAATTGAGTTGATTCCCACAGCAATTACCTCGCTTCCTACTCCAGGATGCACAAATTCGGCTGCAAGTTTCTGCACAACCGGAGTCAAAGCATCTGGTGGCGTGAGATCGTGAACAGACTGCGCCAGCGCAACGAGGATGGATGGGACACGAAGTTGGTGGTAAGCGAGGTATTTGACAATGTAGGTATAGAAGCTTAGGACGCAAAGTTTATGAGCGCCCATCACCCGCGAGAGGAGTTGCATGATGAGAATTTTATGTTCAAGTGAAAAACGTTTGTCATAGCGACTTAGGTTGTCATACAGCTTCTCAGAAAATGTCTGTGGGTCATTGAGAAGTTGGAGTGCCGGGAAATTCGGTGTCGTGGAGGTATTTTTGTTATACTTTTTCTGTATATGAATTAGCAATGAGACGGAGCCAGAAAAGCATTCCTGATAACGGGGTACCTTCTTTGCAGCATTGAGTTGTTTCTGAAGCTTTTTATCGTCACCCCGTCTCTTTTTGTTGACTTCGCGACGATGGTGAAGAGCTCTGACATCGGGACCCTGAAACAAGTATAAGTGGTATTCTGGCAAGGCAGATGTTGTCTACCTCATCTTCCTCGTCATCAATGTCTTCTTTTTCGTCGTCACTGCCTAGAAAGAAGTGAATGGAAGCACTCTGTACCTTCATCACAGGATGGAAGCATCCAAGCGCAACAATAGACACAGGCTTGGCGTCAGTCCTATTGAGGGGTGGAAGTCATATATATCCAGCTGCATCAGTCACGGGTTGCGCACCATATTCTCTTTCGCCACAATTCCTTTGTCAATATCACTGCCCACATAGCCTCCTCCCCATTATTGGCGGTTTTATCACTTGTGGGACCTGCGGATCTGAGCCTTCCTTTATCCCCAACAACTTCAGCATCCATTCCCCGTTCGACCATGGTGAAAAGCATGGCTTGCACAGCACGGTTCAGTTTGTGATTTTTGGTTCGGAGATTGGCAGTACGGATATCGGAGAGAATAGTTTTGCGGATAAAGGCTCGCAAGTTGGAGGAAGTTGTACGAGGGAGGAGAGGGAAAAGGGACTTAAGGAGCCTAAATCGAAAGTTTATTTGGAGGACATAATACAATAGTGCACCAAGACGCTTACTCGATGGATGTAATGACATCCTTGTTGCGCAACATAACAAGGCTTTGAACGAGAGTCTTTCTGGTATCGGGCATGAGGGTACCATAGTTTTCGAGGAGAAGGGTAGACAGATGGGATGGAAAGTCTTTGGTTTCCTTGGGATAACATTGTGCGACCTAAAATCACAACGTCGTCAGTGAAGCAAGTAAACTGTATAAAATTTTAGAGACGCACTTGAGATATAAATGAGACTAGTTCACGAAAATGCTGAGCCTGTTCATCAGGATTTATCTGAAATATCTGTCTGATACTGTCGTAGTGGTTCCATTGCTGTAGGAACTCTTCCTTGTACGCCGCTGGGTCACGTTTGATGAGGTTTTGCAGCTGAGGGAGATTTGAGGTGAGAAGGACGCCACGACCACCCATTACAACAGACAGTTAGATGCTGCAAGTGAACCGCAGCGACGATAGACAATCCTCAAGGAGGGCTCGTAACAGGAGCTTGACTTGAGGAGAGGAATATTTGCAGCTTACATCATCTATAGACTATAGTAGAACAGAGAACGTTCTCCATTCTTGCGATCAATCCAACGTTATAGTACAACACTGTGGTAAGTAATCCAAGCGACAAAGTAGGCTATGATGCCCCATTGAAACTAAAAGCATCACGCAAATCGGAAATCCGAGCTTGAGTTTTGGAACTGTATTG